TTTACAAAGAGCAAAACCAGATTTACAAGAAAAAAACAAACAAGCCCCTTCAAAAGTGAGCAAAGGGTATGAACAGACACTTTAGAAAAGAAGATATACATGAGGCCAACAAACATATGAAAAAATCCTCATCATCACTGGTCATTAGAGAAATGCAAATCAAAACCGCATTGAGATACCATCTCACGCCAGTTAGAAAGGCAATCATTAAAAAACCTGGAGACAACAGATGCTGGAGAGGATGTGGAGAAATAGGAACAGTTTTACACTGTTGGTGGGAGTGTAAATTAATTCAACCATTGTGGAAGACAGTGAGGCGATTCCTCCAGGACCTAGAAATAGAAATTCCATTTGACCCAGCAATCCCATTACTGGGTGTATATCCAAAGGATTATAAATCCTTCTATTTTAAGGACACATGCACACGAATGTTCATTGCAGCACTGTTTACAATAGCAAAGACCTGGAACCAACCCAAATGCCCATCAATCATAGACTGGACGGGGAAAATGTGGCACATACACACCATGGAATACTATGCAGCCATAAAAAACAACGAGTTTGTGTCCTTTGTAGGGACATGAATGAAGCTGGAAACCATCATTCTCAGCAAATTGACACAAGAACAGGAAATCAAACACCTCATGTTCTCATAGAGGGGTGTTGAACAATGAACACATGGGCACAGGGAGGAGAGCATCACACTCTGGGGTCTGTCAGGGGAACTAGGGGAGGGACTGCAGGGGGTGGGGAGTTGGGGAGAGATAACATGGGGAGAAATGTCAGATATAGGTGATGGGGAGGAAGGCAGCAAACCACATTGCCACGTATGTACCTATGCCACAATTTTGCATGTTCTTCATATGTACCCCGAATCCTAAAATGCAATTTTATATATACATATGTATATGGAAATTTCCCTTTCTACCTCTTTCTCTCAAACCAAAAAAAAAAGAAAAAAAGAAAAGAAAAAGAAAAATTAGGGTTCTTAATCAGTTGGTAAGGAATAATGGTCTTGTTCATAAACTTTGGATCCTTTTTCTGCAGGCTAGAAATCACTCCAGTTAGTAAAATAATAACAGTAACAACAACAGCCAAAAGGGAAGTGTATTTAAAATGCAGGAGGTGCCAGTCTAGGCACGTTCGTGGGTAACATTATTTAGCCTTCAGCATCACCTTAGGAGTAAATCCTCATATGATTCCTATCTGACAGGTGGGAAAACTGAGGCACAGAGACCTACGTCATCTGTCCAGACTCAAAGTGGTATTAAGTTGTGGCGCAGGTGTCACATGACATTATCTTATGCACTACGCCTATCTAATTATTATTTTTTTTGAGACGGAGTTTCCTTCTCGTTATCCATGCTGGAGTGCAATCTCGGCTCACTGCCATCTCTGCTTCCCAGGTTGAAGCCATTCTCCTGCCTCAGCCCCCCAAGTAGCTGGGATTACAGGCACATGCCACCATGCTTGGCTAATTTTGTATTTTTAATAGAGGTGGGGTTTCCGCATGTTGGTCAGGCTGGTCTTGAACTCCTGACCTCAGGTGATGCATTCACCTCGCCCTCCCAAAGTGCTGAGCTTACAGGGAGGGATGAGTCACCACACAGGGTTTTGTTTTTTTTTGTTGTTGTTTGTTTGTTTTTTGAGATGGAGTCTTGCTCTGTCATCCAGGCTGGGATGCAGTGGCATGATCTCGGCTCACTGAAACCCCCACCTCCCGGGTTCAAGCAATTCTCCTGTCTCAAGCTTCCCGAGCAGCTGAGACTGCAGGCACGTGCCACCACGCTGGGCTAATTTTTGTAGTTTTAGTGAAGTCAGGGTTTCACCATGTTGGACAGGCTGGTCTTGAACTCCTGACCTCAGTTGATCCACCAGCCTCAGCCTCCCAAAGTGCTGGGATTACAGGCATGAGCCACCTCACCTGGCCACTATGCCTATCTCATTGTATTTCTAAAAGGAGAGGGAAGAGAAATAATTGTATTTCCATCCTCACAGTAACTCCATGAAGGAGATAATATCATTTACCTTTTACAAATGTGAAACAAAAGCTTCAGCTTTTTTTTTCTGAGACAGTGTCTCACTTTGAAGCCCAAGCTTGAGTGCAGTGGCATGACCTTGGCTCACTGCAGTCTTGACCTCCGGGACTCAAGTGATCCTCCCACTTTAGCCTCCTGAGTAACTGGGACTACAGGGGGACACTGCCACACCTCGAAAACATTTTGAAATTTTTTGTAGAGATGGTCTCTTGCTATGTTGCCCAGGCTTCTCTCAAACTCCTGGGCTCAAGCAATCCTCCCTCATCGACCTCCCAAACTGCTGTGATTACAGGCATAGTCGTTCCAGCTTTTTTTTTTTCCCCAAGGCAACATTAAGTTGTTAGTGGCTGAGTCAAGAGCCCCAGGGTCTGCTGACTCCTACTTCAGTGTTTTTTCAGCTAGACTACAGCCACTGTCATTCCTGGAAGTTGTCTGACAGTGGACTAAGATAGATTATTTCGGTGTGTAGCACAGAGGAACATCTCTTAGGAGACTGAACCCTGATATTCTGATGGGGCCAGAATGTATTCTGGGGAAAGGTTCCATAGCTCCCATCCATGACCAGTGAATAGGAATTAGGTACAAGGCATGGTGGCTTATGCCTGGAATCCCAGCACTTTGGGAGGCTGAGGTGGGTGGATCACTAGGTCAGTTCAAGACCAGTTTGGCCAATATGGTGAAACCCCATCTCTATTAAAAATACAAAAATTAGCTGGGCATGGTGGCGGGTGCCTGTAATTCCAGCTACTCAGGACGCTGGGCAGCAGAATCGCTTGAACCCAGGAGGCAGAGATTGCAGCGAGCCACTGCACTCCAGCCTGGGTGACAAAACAACACTCAGTCTATAAAAAGAAAATGCTGGGCATTGGCCAGGTGCGGTGCGATGGCACACATCTGTAATCCCAGCACTTGGGGAGGCTGTGGCAGGTAGATCACTTGAGGTCAGGGGTTCCAGACCAGCCTGACCGACATGGTGAAAGCCCATCTCTACTAAAAATATGAAAATTAGCTGGGTGTGGTGGTGGGTGCCTATAATTCCACCTACTCAGAGTGCTGAGGCAGGAGAATTGCATTAACCTGGGAGGCAGAGTTTGCAATGCGCTGAGATCACACCTGGGCGACAGAGTGAGACTTCATCTCAAAAAAGAAAAGAAGTTGGTTGTCGTGGTGTGTGGTCTCAGCTACTCAGGAGGCTGAGGTGTGCAGATCACTTGAGCCCAGGAATTTAAGGCTTCAGGGAGCTATGGTGGAGTCACTGCACTCCAGCCTGGGTGACAAAATGAGACCCCTATTTCTAAAAAACTAATTTTAAAAATTAACAAAATAAGAGAGACAATAGGATAGTATTCATCACCAGTAAGAGATCAAACACATCACCCACTGAATCTTGCCAACATGATCAAACTCTAATCTAATGGGGTGAGCATAAATCCAGCTGCAAATATGCCACAAATACAAAAGACAGAGAATGGGTTCACCTGCACCAGGGAAATCCAGACTTTGAGAAATGCTACAGGCCCAACAGTGTGGACTCTTCCAAAACCCATAGAAAGGAAAAGGGATAGGCCAGGGAAGGTGGCTCAGGCCTGTAATCCCAGCACATTGGGAGGTCAAGTTGGGCAGATCACAAGGTCAGGAGTTTGAGACCAGCCTGACCAACATGGAGAAACCCCATCTCTACCAAAAATACAAAAATTAGCCAGGTGTGGTAGCACATGCCTGTAATTCCAGCTATTCAGGAGGCTGAAGCAAGAGAATCACTTGAACCTGGGAGTCGGAGGTTGCAATAGACTGAGATAGTGCCATTGCACTCTAGCCTGGGTGACAGAGCAAGACTCTGTCTCAAAAAAAAAAAAAAAAGGAAAAGGAATAGAGGAGAAACTTGTAAATTGTAAATTGTGTCTTTTTTTTTTAATTTTAGTTTTTGGCCAGGCATGGTTGTTCACACCTGTGATCCCAATCTTTGCACTTTGAGAGACTGAGGTGGGCAGATCACCTGAGGTCAGGAGTTTGAGGACAGCCAGGCCAATATGGTGAAACCCCGGCTCTATTAAAAGTACAAAAATTAGCTGGGCATGGTCCCATGTGCCTGTAATCTCAGCTACTTGGGAGGATGAGGCAGAATGGCTTGAACCCAGGAGGCAAATGTTGCAGTGAGCTGAGATCACACCACTGCATTGCAACCTGGGTTTAGCAATAAAAAGAAACTTAGGTTTTGTAGAGACAGGAGTCTCCCTGTGTTGTCCAGGTTGGTCTCAAACCTCTGAACTTAAATGATCCTATCACATCAGGATTACAGGTGTGAGCACTGACCCAGCCAACAAACTTGGAGATTGAAAGAGGCTCAAAAGACATAACAATGCTGGGGAACAGTTATGGGCTAGAGATGCATACTAGGGCGGCTCTACTCTAAAGAAACAGAAAGAGACCAGGTGTGGTGGCTCACACCTATAACACCAAACACTTTGGGAGGCTGAGAAGGGAGGATCGCTTGTGCCCAGGAGTTTGGGACCAGCCTGGCAACATAGTAAGACCCAGTTTCTACAGGAAAAAAAAAAAATGTTTTTTTTAATTAGCTGGGAATGGTGGTGCACGCCTATAGTCCCGGCTACTCAGGAGGCTAAGGGGAGACGATCACTTGAGCCCAAGAGGTCAAGGCTGCAGTGAGCCATGATCACACCACTGCACTCCAGCCTGGGTGACTGAGCAAGAACCTGCCTCAAAAAAAAGAGGAACAGAAAGAAGCAATTACTGTGAATGTCAGGGTTGGGGAATACTTCTGGAGAGAAGGGAGGGGCTGGCATTGTGCCCATCTCCAGCCCCTTCTGAAGTACAGAGTCTAGTGGGGAAGACAGAAGCACAAGTGGAGATTCAGGCTGCAGCACCAGGAAGTTCCGTTCCACCTTCCCACCTGCTTGCCCCTTCCTTTGGGGAACAGGAGCATGATTTTCTTTCTTCTTTGCCTTTCTAACTAGAAAGAGTTTCTGATGGGAGAATTCATATACAGGATGTATAGCATCAACATCAACAGCCAGCTGGAATTGACGGCTTTGTTGATACCCCAGCCAGGCACATCCCTTATTCCTCTGCTAAGTACATCTGGGTGTTGCTGCTGTCCAGGATTCTCAGCCACTTGCTCGGTGCCCACTCCCAGATTCTGGAAATCCCCTGACATTGCCCCCAAAAGGAGAGACACTCACTCACAATTCTGCATAGAAATTGTCTCTATGTGTCTTTTTTTTTTTTTTTTTGAGAGAGTCGCTCTGTTGATCAGACCGTAGTCCAATGGTGTGATCTCAGCTCACTGCAACCTCCACCTCCCAGGCTCAAGCAGTTCTCTTGCCTCAGCCTCCCAAGTAGCTGGAGTTACAGGCACCTTCAACCATGCCTGACCAGTTTTGTATTTTTAGTGGAGATGGGGTTTCACCATATTGGTCAGGCTGGTCTTGAACTCCTGGTCTCAAGTGATCTGCTCACCTAGGCCTCCTAAAATGCTGGAATTACAGGCATGAGTCACCATACCTGGCCATTTCTGTGTCACCCCCCTAGGCCAGTCTCTGCATGTTTGGGTTTGATGTGGCTGTGGCTGTCCAGCTGGCTACCTGTCATTTTTAGTCTCTGTGTCTCCTCGATCCTTCTCAGCTGCCCATAAATTCGTTTTCTTTTCTTTCTTTTGTTTTTTTTCTTGAGATGGAGTTTTGCTCTGTCACCCAGGCTGGAGTGCAATGGCATGATCTCGGCTCATTGCAACCTCTGCCTCCCATGTTCGAGCAATTTTCCTGCCTCAGCCTCCCAAGTAGCTGGGACTACAGACACGTGCCGTCATGCCGGGCTAATTTTTAGTAAGATAGGGTTTCATCATGTTGGTCAGGCTGGTCTCAAACTCCTGACCTCAGGTGATCCACCCACCTCGACCTCCCAAAGTGCTGGGATTACAGTCATAAGCCACAGTGCCCGGCCTCAGTTTTTAAACTCAGCCTGAGTGGGCTTCTCTTGCTAGCAGCTAAGAGCTCTGACCCCTATGGCCTTCTTCCACACAGCAGGAAGTGTTTGGATGTTTCTGGATCTAAAATCCAAGTGTCTAAGCCTACCAGTAGTTGCAAGTGCAGATGGTCACACAATTTTTTGACTTTACAATGGCACAAAAACGATCACATTCAGTATAAACTGTGCTTCCAGTACCAATGCAATCTTTCTGTTTTTTACTGTTAGTATAGTATTCAATAAATTGCATGAGGGTCAGGTACATTGGCTCATGCCCTTAATCCCAGTACTTCAGGAGGCTGAGGTGGGAGGATCCCTGGAACCCAGGAGTTTGAGACCGGCCTGGTAACATAGTGACACCCTGTCTCTATGAAAAAAGATAAAAATTAGCCAAGTGCAATTGTGTGCACCTGTAGTCCCATCTACTTCGGAGGCCAAGGCAGGAGAGATCACTTGAGCCCAGGAGATTGAGGCTGCAGTGAGCTATAATCATGCCACTGCACTCCAGCCTGGGTAACAGAGCAGGACCTCATCTCTTAAAAAATAAAAATTTAGGCCAGGCATGGTGGCTGATGCCTGTAATCCCAGCACTTTGGGAGGCTGAGGTGGGTGGATCATGACGAGGTCAGGAGTTCAAGACCAGCATGGCCAACACGGTGAAACCCCATCTCTACTAAAAATACAAAAATTAGCTGGGTGTGGTGGCATGCACCTGTAGTCCCAACTCCGGAGGCTGAGGCGGGAGAATTGCTTAGAACCTGGGAGGCGGAAGTAGCAGTGAGCCGAGATAGCGCCATTGTACTCTAGCCTGGGAGACAGAGAAAGATTCGGTCTTATAATAAATAAATAAGTAAATAAAAATTTAAAAGTAGGTAAACTATTACTTGATGAGGACAGCATTTCTGTTTGGGATGATGAGAAAGTTTAGAAACATGGTGGTGATAGTTGCACAATATTGTGAATCTACCAAACGCCATTGAATTGTACACTTAAAGGTGGTACATTTATCCAAGTTTATTATCTATTTCTACAAGCATTCATGAAGGCTGACCCCTGAAGTGTCAAAGTCATGATCCAAGGTGGGGAAGTGTGAGTGGGTTTTGTTCTTTTCGTACTGCTCAGTTTGTTCTCAACCTAAAGTCGGCTGGGCTAACATCCAATGCTTGGTAGGGTAGGTGTATTACATGCATTTGTGGGCCGGGTTTGGTGGCTCACACATATAATCCCTGCACTTTGGGAGGCTGAGGTGGGCAGATTGCCTGAGCTCAGGAGCTCCAGGCGAGCATGGGCAACATGGTGAAACAGTGTCTCTACTAAAAATACAAAAATTAGCTAGCTGTGGTAGGGTGTTTGTAGTCCTAGCTACCCGGTGGGCTGAGGCAGGAGAATCGCTTGAACCCAGGAGGCAGAGGTTGCAGAGCCAGACTCCACCTCCAAAAATAAAAATAAAAATAAATAGGACAGGTACAGTGGCTCACGCCTGTAATCCCAGCACTTTAGGAGACTGATATAGGCAGACTACCTGAGGTCAAAAGTTCGCAACCAGTCTGGCCAATATGGTGAAACCCAATCTCTACTAAAAATACAAAATTTACCCAGTGCTCACGCCTGTAATGCCAGCCACTCAGGAGGCTGAGGCAGGAGAATCACTGGAACCTGATAGGCACAAGTTGCAGTGAGCCAGGATTCCACCACTGCACTGCAGCCTGGATGACAGTGTGAGACTCTGTCTCAAAAAAATAAATGCATTTTCAACTTAGTATATTTTCACTTTTTTTTTTTTCCCAGAGACAGGATCTATCTGTGTTGCCCAAGCTGATCTTGAACTCGTAGGATCAAGTAATCTTCTCACATTGACCTCCCAAAGTGCTGGGATTACAGATGTGAGCTACTGCACTTGGCTGCTATTACCAATTTATGATAGATTTATGGAGACATGACCCCGTCATGAGTCAAGGAGCATCTGTAATCATGCTGAAAATGGGGGTGGCTTGTGTGAGGATATGGGGGTGTGTCACAAAACACAAGGGGATCAGGGCCGGCAGGGGGACACCACAGGCTGCCTCTGGCTCAAACCAGGGCTCCCTGCTCTGTGTCTCCTGCTGCAGGACAGACCCCAGGCTCACCGCTCTGCAAATCCATGCTGTCTGCACTGCAGGACTTCGAATTCACAGCTGGGATTTGTGGGTGATGATGGAGCAGGAGCAAGGCAGGGGGCACACATCAGGGGTTGCACCTGCAGCCACATTGGCAGAGCAAGTTCGTTTTCTTTTTTCTTTTTTTGAGATAGAGTTTCGCTCTTGTTGCCCAGACTGGAGTAAAATGGCATGACCTCGGCTCACCACAACCTCAGTGTCCCATATTCAAGCGATTCTCCTGCATCACCCTCCTGAGTAGCCAGGATTACAGGCATGCACTAGCACGCCTGGCTAATTTTGTATTTTTGGTAGAGACGGGGTTTCACCATGTTGGCCAGCTGGTCTCAAACTCCTGACCTCAAATGATCCACCTGCCTCTGCCTCCCAAACTGCTGGTATTACAGGTGTGAGCCACTGCACCCAGCCCTGGTTTCCCTGTCCTGCCTGCTGGCTCTGTACAGCCTCAGCTTCTCTTCCCCCCACCCCTAGGTGATAGTGAGCAACCCCCACTCCCTGAGGTTCTAGGCCACCTTCTATGAGAGCGGTTACAAGTTACATGGGAACACCAAGTACAATCTGGTGAGCTATGTCCCCACCAAACCTCACCACATGTCCCCCGAGGGCTCCCTCTTCCTTCTTCCCTTACCAGCATAAAGAGCTGAGGAATTTCCAGACAACACAGCCCCTAGCCCTGCCACATGGTGGGAAGATGATCAGGCAGCCATCACCTACACACCTGACTTGATTGAAGTGTCACAAGGGTCAGGCACGTGTGAGCCTGTAATCTCAGCACTTTGGGAGGCTGAGGCAGGTGGATCACAAGGTCAAGAGTTTGGAACCCACCTGACCAACATGGAGAAACCCCAACTCTACTAAAAATAAAAAAAATTATCAGGCTGTCGTGGCATGTGCCTATAATCCCAGCTACTCAGTAGGCTGAGGTAGGAGAATCACTTGAACCCGGGAGGCAGAGGTTGTAGTGAGCTGAGATTGTACCACTGCACTCCAGCCTGGGTGATAGAGTAAGATCCCATCTCAATCAATCAATCAATCAATCAAGTAAGTACGTATCACATGGGCGATTCCCACATGGCATGACGGGGAGGAACCTAACACAGCCTGAGGCAGGGCTGGAGATCTGAGTTAGCTGAGTAAACTGAGGCATAAGGATTTAGTGGGGGCAATTTCCACAGGGCAGGGGCCTGACTAGCTGCAAGTCAGCAACAGCAAACTTCTTTGACCAGGCCCATCACATCTAGATGAGTGAGAAAAACAATCACTCCTCACTGTGTGTCCCCAGAACTCTGGGAGCAAGTGAGTGGGAGTCGTCATACTGGAGCCATTTTTTCTGTGAGCTTCCAGAAGCCTTTCACAGGCGGTGGGATTACAATGGAGCAGGGCTTGGCTGAGTGCAGTGGCTCATGCCTGGAATCCCAACACTTTGGGAGGCCGAGGTGGGTGGATGGCCTAGGGTCAGGAGTTGGAGACCAGCCTGGCCAATATGGTGAAACCCCAGCTCTACTAAAAATATAAAAATTAGCTAGCTGTGGTAGCACTTAACTGTGGTCCCAGCTACTCAGGCGGATGAAGCAGGAGAATCTCTTGAACCTGGGAGGAAGAGGTTGCAGTGAGGCCAGATCATGCCACTACACTCCAGCCTGGGCAACAAAGTGAGACTCCATCTCAACAACAACGACAAAACACTTTACAAATGGTGGTCCCTCAAAACACTTACACACAGCATTACCATTTGCTCTAACAAAGCCACTGCCATCCATCCCAAAAGAATAGAAAGCAGGAACTCAGGGAGGTATTTGCACACGTGTGCTCACAGCAGCATGATTCACAACAGCCAAAAGGCAAAATCAACCGACGGGTCCACCATCAGATGAAAAGATAAACACAGTGTGATCCATCCGCACAGCAGAATATGACTCAGATTTAAGAAGGAAGGGAGGCCGGGCGAGGTGGCTCACGCCTGTAATCCCAGGGCTCTAGGAGGTCACGGTGGATAGAGACTCTGTCTCGAAAAAATAAATACATACAAATAAAGAGAAATAACAAAGGAAGTGAGAATATATCGTGAGTGACTCTAATAAGTAAGAACTGAAAGCTTTCTCAGCTGCTGATAGCATTACTACCAACCAGTTCAGTTATGTTCATTTTTCCCGGCTAGGAAGACCTGCACTTGTCCCCCGGGGCTCACCTTTCTGTACACCAGGCCAGTGATGGCCGACTGCAGCCTCATCTGCAGCACCTTGAGCCGGTACATGTTCTGCTGCTTAAACAGCGTTTGCAGGCAGACCAAGAGGAACATCAGCACCGCGAGGAGGTAGCCCTTCCAGGTTGGAGGCTTGAGATCACCCATAAACTCCAGGAAAAGGCTTGCAGGGGAAAGAGGAAGATGGTACAGCTGGTGAGAGGAGGTGCCCATGTGTGCTGCCTTTGCCCAAACCAGGCCAGGTGTGGGGGATCAGTCGGCGTGGTTGACTTTTTCACAATCATGATCTCGGTTATTTCTCCCACTGTCCATGCTTCTCCCACTGTCCATCTGACTGCAGCTCCTCAAAATCAAGAGATGATGTTTTTCTCCCACCTTGTTATGGGCTAAATTTTGTCCTCACAAAATTTGTATGTCAAAGCCACAACCCCCGGTATCTCTGAATGTGACTGTATTTGGAAATAGGGCCTTTAAAGAGACAATAAAGTTAAAATTAGGTCATTAGGCTGGGGCCTTATCCAGTCTGACTGTGATCCTTATAAGAGGAGAAAATGTAGACACACAGGGAGACACCAGGGCACACACAGAGGAAAGACCATATGAGGACACAGGGAGGAGGTGGCCAACTGCACGCCAAAGGCAGAGGCCTCAGATGGAACCAACTTGCGGATACCTGATCTGGAACTTCCAGCCACCAGAATCATGAGAAAAATACATTTCTGTTGTTGAAGCTACTCAGTCTGTGATGCTCTGTTCTGGCAGCTGAGCAGACTCCACTTGAATCTGAACTGGCCACAAAACCACCTTTGACCAACAGAGTAGAGTGGAGGTAAAACTATGCCAGCTGTGAGCCTCAAGAGAAAATGTGGCTTTTGGCCTATTGCTTAGAAGCCTCCCAAGCAGCCACGTGAACAAGTCTGAGCTAGCTTTTTGGAGGATGGGAACCCACATGGAACAGAAAGCCATCCCAGCTTCAGAAACACAGCTACAGGCACATGAGAAAACCCAGCCAAGAAAAGAACCACCACCCAGCTGAGCCCAGTCCACGTTACTGACCCACATTACCATCAACTAAATAAATGAATGCTTATAATTTTAAGCCACTCACTTTTGGGGCATTTTACAACAAAAGCTAATTGATGCAGTCATGTAAGAACTTGCTTATTTGCCCTTCTGGCGCACAGTCACTTTATCATATATCATTTTCCTTTTTCAGTATCCTTCTCACCCACCCTCCAGCGTCTGAGCATGAGATGTATAGGCAGAGGCATGAGAGCTGAAGCGCTCTGACTCTGGAGGTATGCCATTAAGAGACCACCAGCCTTAGCAGAGCTCCTGAAGTCTGGACTCACCTAAGCAGCTTGGGGACAGTGAACCTGAAGACATCACTGATGAAGAGGCTGTGGGTCCCAGGAGGAAGGTAGCATGCAACACCTGCCAGACAGTCCTCAGCAGTGGGCCCCGCTGCCTCCCTTTTTCCATAGGAATGGCTCAGTCTCTGGAGCCTCCACGCCACTGCCTCCTTTCCTTTTAAACACTATTGCCTCGGTGTGCCTTAGAGGAAGGGAGAGGCTGACTCTGGGTCCCATTTTATACTCTCAGCTACCAGCAGCAGCGCCAGGCATTAAAAGCTTGTTTTCTTAACAATGGGCGTGGGTGGGTGTGGATCCAGCCTGGTTCCCTCACCTGTGCCTTCTTATCACCCTGAGTACCCATTTAAGAGGCAGTCATAGGAGTTGTGGGGGAATGGCAGGAGGGCAGCCCTGAGGACTCTTAGATGGCCATGGGAAAGCACACATGTTGAGCACCTACTACGTGCCAGACACTTCCCAGTCATCCTAAGACCCCTGGCAAGCCAAATGTTGTTCCCATTTCACAGATGAGAAAACTGAAGCTCAGAGAAGTGAACTTGTCCAAGGGCACACAGCTGAGAAGTAAAAGCTGGGATTCAATTCC